GGAAAGAGAAAGTTAATGGTACTCCAAGCGCCTTGCATCCTTGTGAAAAACCAACAGTAAAGGTTCACCAACCTTCGATTCAGAAGTATTTAAGAAAGCGTGAAACGCTATTTGAATAAACTGGCCATATCTATATCAAAGTGTTTTGTACTCATGAACCTGTCATTACCACTCTATCTTCTTTTACCTATTATGGACGCCCCTTGATTTTGTCCTTTAGTTTAAACACATGCCTGCTATTCTGGTCACTGTGCAGCTATGCTAATTTTTTGTCTTAACTTACAAATGTTGGAACAATTTAAACCGAAACATGTTATCTATTTTTTCTTCATCATCTTATAGCTGATTTAATTATGTCATTCTTCAGTTGTTAAAAATTGTTTGGTCTACAATTAAATAATTTAGAGATTATAATAGTGAACTGTTATAAGGTGAATCGTGATATGATATATATAGTTGGGTGGGAAGTTAAGAATCATCTTAATCTTTATATTGCTAATATATGTATTTGTGTTCTATCTTTAATCATCTTTAATTTGCATAAAATAACAAAGTGTATGGTTGCTGCATAAATGAAACAACATTTGATTAGCGGTATTAAGTGATACTCGCTTTAAGCTATATGTGAATTTGTGTATTATTTTATGTGGGAAAGTATGTTGAATAAAAATTAGTGTGTTACAATAAGGGGAATAAACTATTTAAAACAAAAAAAGTAAGCAATTCATGTGTAACAATTAATCGTTATACATAATCCCTCCACCCCCTTAATCATTGCATAAACAATTCCTGCATTATAATCTCCGCATAACTAGCAAGTAAACTCACTCCTAGCAGAATTGGCTCTTGCTGGTACATGTATAACGCTTCGTTTGCAATTTTTTCTTTCGCAACCGGTCAGACTGAAAATCTCTTCATGCACTAAATATCTGGAAAAATTGAAGCGAACGAGAGTTATTAGTTGGAGAAAGATAAAGAAGAAAGGAAAGAAGATGGGGATGGAGTACTCTTGGATGAAGATGTGAAGGTCTAACTGAGAATGGGCAGTGAGGGGGAATTGTTAATTGCTTTCCTTACAAGTGTTACAAGGGTCAAAGTGAAGAAAAAAGAAGAGAAGCAACCCGTTGGAGCCCTTTTAATAGGTCCTCTTACAGCTTGTGTTATTAGCTAGTTGTAACGCGTGATCTTAAAAATGTGAAGATTTTATCTCAAAATGTTGAGAGGAGTCGAAGTGCAGATTTAACGTAAATTAAATCTTGTGACAGCTGCATCATTCTTTTTTGAGAGGAGAGTAGTAGTACAACACTATAAATGGTGAGATTGATGTCCATTATAAATAGGTTTTATTAATTTAATCTCTTTAATAAGAGTTCGGTACTTAGAAACTTGTAGAATGATTACAAGAGATCATTCCTTTCATTAAAAATGTGTTTTTCCATGTGGCAATAGTAAGTTATAAAACTCTAACTGATCTAAAATAAAACCAAATGCTTGAGAAGAAGATGCAGTATCCAATCCTTTTCTCATGATCTTTACGGGTGCGAGTACAACGGAGCAGCGCCATCCTTCGGTCCTCTCTCTTGAGTCCACATCAACTCTATGGACTTCCATTTTCATGTTTTTGGTCCATCAGCTTTATAGGTTTCTAGTAATAAATGAGGAAATCTCATCATTTTACTCAACAGAATCTGAGTTGAATGATTCGCCCTCGCCAGGGGACCACAGCACGAAATGTACTGATCGTCCTTTCTCTTCAGCCTCGATCCCCCCCTCTTTATCTAGATTTATCAACACCTAGCTAGTGTCCTCAATTAACCAGTAAGTACATGATATTTGGTTTTTATGTACGATGTATATTAATTACAGTTAATTGATGTGTATTCTTATATTAATTTTTTTAAATATAATTTCCCGGTATCGCTGAGTGTGTTGTATTATCTTTAGGAAGGAGGGGGAGATTGCCTTACCTCCAAGATTACAACACTATAGAGTCCACCCTAGCCAAAATAAATAAAAAATACAGTGAGGTGTAAAACATCCTCTTGTGCCCAAAATTACAAGATTACAAGAGGCTTAACTCACAAAGAAATTTGCCTTATCATACTTTGTTCTAATGCTAGGTACTTGAAATTTATCTAAAATGAAAGTTCCCTTGATTTCCCTAGGCAAAAGGTAGAAAGACATGTATATCTTACTCTCCGATGTGTTGGAAGCCATTTTTGCCAAGTAATCTGCTAATTGGTTAGCTTCCCTATAGCAATGCACGTGAGTGATATTGGCTTGGTTCATACATTGTAAGATATCATCTATCGTGTTCTTCATTTTATAATTGTCAGTATGTCTTTCTTTGATCATGTTGACTACGAGCATAGAGTCAATTTCAAGCACGAAGTCTGAAAATTCATTCTGAATACACCGTTGAATCCCAGCCAAAGCTCCCAAAGCTTCTGCTTCATTGTTGCTTGTGCAGTTAGCTGACAAAGAGAAGGCCATACACAAATCACCCTGCTCATTCCTCAAAACACCTCCAAGCCCTGCTTTGCTATTTCGATGAATAAAGCTTCCATCTGTGTTTAACTTGAAAGTTCCCTGTTGTGGCTTCATCCATGTTACTATAATGGTTTCAGGAATGGGTTTTAGTTTGACCATATCATCACAGTACTTGACTCAAGGCAATGTCATCTTGCATTTCGGAAAGGACCGCTGTACAACAGCCATAACATTCCAAATGATCCGTTGCTTCATGTTGTACAAGCTGAACTTCTTTTGATCTACATATTTATACGAGCATCTATTCTTCCAAATTTCCCAACAGGTGATGATTGGAATTATCTGCAGAGCTTGTTTGTGAACAACATTTTTAGACCTTTGTTGCCACCGGTGGTTGAGCCACCCGCGAATAGGTATGTGTACAGGCTTAATTCCGATGGGAGCACCTATCGCTTTCCAGATAAACCTTGCTGCATCACTTTCCATAAATACATATTGGATAAACTCATTGACATGGTTAGTACAACAAACACATGTAGAAATAATTTGTCTACCAAAGTTACGAAGTACTTCATCAAAAGGAAGTTTTGACAACCATAATCTTCAAGTTAGAAAGAAAATTTTGAAAGGAGTGCTAGAATGCCGTACCTTACTAAGGAATTGATCCTTAGTTTTAATAGCTCTGAACATGTTCTGAGTAGTTTTATTGGAGTACCTACCATTATCAGAGAGATTCCATATATCTTGATCAGGGGATGTTTGGTCTCCAATGTTGATTCCTTTGATATGGTCCACAATATCATCTGGGACTGTATCTCTGAGCTTACCACTGTTCCATTCACCATTGTGAATATATTCTTTCACAAGAGTTTTCGGATTCTTCCTTTCATTTGGGAAGAGAAGTGCTAAAGGACCCTTTCCTAACCAATTATCCTACCACATGTTAGAGTTGCTAGAATTTACTACCCAATAAATATGCGATTCTGCTTTGTCTCTTATTTTCCTCAATTTTTGCCATACATATGAATCCCCTGGAGCATATTTCTTACTCACTGGATGGGATCTTTGGCAGTATTTTTGAGTCAAGAAGTTAGCCCAAAGAGATGGAATGGTCCCGAGTCTCCACCACCTTTTAGTTGCTAAAACATTATCAAAATCAATCATTCTTCTAACACCTATGCCTCCTTTATCACATGGGAAGCATAGGTTTTTCCATGATCTCCAATGGTATATTCTTTGATCTCCAGAGGATCCCCAAAAGAAGTTAGCAAAATGCTTGTCAATCAAATTAAAAGTACTCTTNCCATAAGATAAAATCTTACCATGCCAGCCATTAAGTTTCTTAATAATTTTATTAACCATATCATCAAAATATGCAATTTTTTTCCTTCCTACATAAATTGGGCAACCTAGATATGTAAAGGGAAAATTCTTGTCCATATAACCTGTAGCATTTCTGATTCTATTGATTCTATGTGCACAAGTATGTGGGGCAGTTAAGAAGAAGCTTTTATGAGTGTTGACCATTTGTCCAGAGTTATTTTCATAATCTTTAATGATCTTCATGATAAGATTAATAGAATCATTGTTACTACTAGTGAAAATAACAATATCATCAGCACAAGCAAGGTGATTGATCTGAGGACCTCTAGTAGGCATACTGAAAGGCGTAAAAGAGGCATCAGTGTATAAATCATTGAGAGAGCAGGTAAGTACCTCAGAAGCTAGGATAAAAAGTGTAAGAGATAAGGGATCTCCCTGTTTCAAACCTTGACTTGAGGTAAAAAAGTCTTTCCTATTACCATTAATAATAATAGAATACCAAATGCGAGACAATAGATTCATGATCATGTAGTTCCAATGTTCTGAGAAACCTAATTTCTTAAGAACTGA